CTCGGAAGCGATGGGTCGTATGCGGGCTCTGCGGGGATTGAGACGAACGTTGTCGCATTCATCGGTGTTCCGAAAGCACTCCAGGCCTGCTCTTCCCAAAAGCTCCGCAGGGCAACACAAACAAGCACCACGAAAAGCATGTGAACCTTAGAGGCCCAAAACAACACAACACGGAGTTCTGCTGACCCAAATCTGGAGACAGCGACAAGAGAAGACCACAAGGTTCAGAACAGTACAATGGGTCTTTGGGGCTCCGAGGGTTTACCATCTGGTTGTTGGATCTTGTTGAACAATTTCACCACAGCCACCGTGCCCAAAATGATGGTGCTGGCCACACGCACCCGCTCACCAGCTGAGATAGCCCGCTGGTAGCCGAACTGCCTCATGAACGACAGGAGCACAAAGACGGCGAAGTCTTTCAGCCTGGATCGAAGATCTAGGAGGTGTCTATGACGAGTGAATGCTAACCAGTTCCAAATGGCCAAATGCGTCCTAGGTTCAATACATCGAATTGTTTATAGTTTATGCCTGGCCAGTGCGGTATGAAAACCGTAATGCCGCATGAAGAGGGAAGCACAAAAAGTGAAAAAGAAAAGCACCGGAGACGCGATACAACTATGATCGACTTTGTAACAAGCAACCCATGTTTGCTTGCTGTCAAAATGAGAAGACAGGCCAAAGCTGTGTTGTTCACAATGGACTCGAGGAAGGCAAAGAGCCATCCCAGTTGTCCCTCCACATGCATCCAAAGCATGCGCAAAAACATGTAGCAAAGAAGGCTCATGCAGGTGATGGCCAAGGTCGGGAAATGAAAGGCTCCGAAGACGGAGGCTGAGACGAAGAGCATCATCGCAGAATGATAACGCTGACGCTTCTGCGCATGGAAGCCCAAACAACACCACTTCTCGCCCCAAGCCTTGGCAGGCGGAGGGGAAGCAATTTTTTCTCCTTCCCCCATTCTTCTCATCCACAACCAATACAACCATGCGCAAACCTGTTCATTCAATTGCAGTAATCCGTTTGTCCTTGTGCCACGCAGTTCTCAGCACGTTCAAACAGAAACAAACCCATGATTCAACGATTCTGCTCCCGCGTGCCTGCAGGATCTCTGGGTGAGGAAAACATTTATACATCCACGTTGGAGTGCACTCGTCTCCCTCCATGGCACCGTCAAAAAGGCAAAAGTTCAACACCATCAGAATGGCGACCAGGAGGGCCATCACGCCTCCTATTATCCTGCACGTCATATTGTCTAAAAAGAAAAGCAAGTTGGAGCTAAGGATGAAAGCACCAACATCACCCTACTTGGGGGGCTTTCAAAAGCTTGTTCCATGCGGAGCTCAATGGTCAGAAGGCTGGTTCTGTGGAACGCAAAGCCCAAAATCAAGACCATAGTGCCAACCAAAACTGGCAAGAGGAACTCCAACCAGTGGAAGATGGTGCAGCACAGCAGGCAAATGGACCTGCGCTCTGCCGATGTGGAGGAAAACTGTAAATCCTGTGGTGACATCCAAATGCTCCCAGTATCACCTGAGCGTGAGAGGCGATAGTGGACCAACACTCAAACAGCATGCACCGCAAAGGGCTATGAAATGCTATAAATATGTATAGCCATTGTATAACTCCCGAAGGAAAATGCACTAATCCCTCAGTGACATTACATTTGGTGTAAGAAGCCTCGCAATTACGGTTTGCAGACCGGGCACGTGTGCTGGTCCGTGACTGCGGTGTTTTCAGGCCACGGGCGGCCCGCCAGGCGGAAAGGAAGGCCCGCAGCTTCAGAGAGAGCTCACCGAAGAGCCTTGGTCAAGCCGGAGCTCTTCAGAGCACTCAACGGGCGGGTCCAGGACGGTCCAGGGTCTACGTTTGAGCGCTGAGTTTGAGGTGGTTTCTGGGGGAGAAGTTTTGGGGAGATGTCCCCAATCAGTCATACCGACCATGCCCTATGCCCTATCTTTAGGAGATGTGACCATGAGTTAAGGACGATATAGCCTGCTGCAACATCATGCCGGGAAGATTATCTTCCTCAAATTGAGTGGTTGAGTGTGGTAAAAGTATTATTGCAGGGTTTTCCAAGAGTTCGCACATCGATTTCCGAGGACATATCGCACGCAACAACAACAGGGGTATTGCCAATTGTTTATGGAAGCCCCATATCATTTCCAAGGGACACTTAAAAAATCACAGTCTTGGATGGAACGATATGAAACGCCCTTATATAAAGTAAATCACAATAACTTGGAGCACGACTCGTACACCGACCAGCGAGAAAAGCGCCATCACCTTGCAGGTAGGAAGCCAAAGCAAATAAAAAGCTAAAATATGGGTGACTCCAATGCCCAAGCAGATCTTGCAAATCAGTCTGTAGCTCACAATCTCAATGGGGCTCTGCATGAGTAAAGCCATCGGCACTAAGTTCAAGGACACATGCAGCAAGCACTGGAACATCACATCCCAGCTCTGTTGAGCGCGGGTAAGGCAAACCGACCAGCTGTGGGTGTAGAATTCTCCTTCATCTAGCTCCTTTTTGGAATCCTGAACAACCAGCCTGCGGTAGGCTTCAAAGGCATCTGCTCTCCAAGCATCCTTGCAAAGCAGGTACGCGAAACGGAGCAAATCGCTCGTCACAGAGAGCAAAATGCATGACCGGGCAAAAGCGCCCAAGAAATGCAGGGATGTAGCATATGGAGAATCTGAATGGAAGCTACTGTTGCCTGCAAACCAGTCCTTGTTGCAAAGCGGTGAGCCCTATGATGGTTCAAAGGGTGTTTTGCAGAAAAAGCTTATTCTTTATTCTATCGGTGTAAAGCATTGCATTTCATGGCCTGCCAGGTTGCAGTGTAAAACCGTAGCAACGCGGTTGAACAGTTCACAAAGATCAACATGCTGGAAGCCACAAAAAGATAGCAATGCCATAGTGCAAGCGCTCCAGCAGCCCAAGACTTGCCTACGTTGGCAAGAGTGAGGTGGCCCCATGTAGGAACGATGTAGCCAATGCACAGGCCAACCCGCCAGCAGCCGCTTATCCGTTCAGCTTCTTCATACGTTTCGTCCTCACTGTTCTCTTCATCGATGTCATCTAGACTCAGACTTGCATGGCTTGCTCTGGTCCTCGAATGCTCTACGGCAGCTTGTGACCAATCGTGCAGCATCTGGTCGCTTCAAAGCAATTGCTAGGAAGCATTGCAAGCCATTCATCTTGAACAGGCTTGGGCCCCCAAATATCAGAGACCAATCCCCACACTCACTGGATTTGAACTACTTGCAAAGTAGCACTACAGTATCTGAAAAGGTAGAATGAACCATGTTACTGCAAAACCGCAATGACTGCCAATTTGCCTCCAAAGGGTCTGTCTGATGTCTGATCTTCAGAATCACGGCGTACAGTTTCTCTTCAGAATCTTCCGTGACTGGAAACGGTTCGAGCTGGACCGGGCGGCTGCAAACAGCTTTCCTAGATGTCAAGTCGATCCGAGGATGTCCCTTTCATGACTGCCTCCTGAGCTGGAAGAAGCGGACACAGCTCAGGAACCATTACATACTGCTCAATTTGCACCTTGGAATCAGGCCAGCTGCATGAGGAATACCTAAAAATCCTAAAAGCAACACTGCAGCACTGAGTATTCCATCAAGTCCTGCCCTGCTATACGGAACCCATCGGAACCACCTTTTCACCGTATATAGTCTCAGCTTTGGAGACCACCTGTACAACCAAACTAGACTCAGCGACTCAGCGGCAGTGATTCGGCAATTGGAAGGCTCTCTTATTTTGTTGATTGTCGGCATGTATAAGTTTTTCATGCGCCAATCAGAGTCCTTCGTGCCTTTTTTTCAATCACTCCACTCACTGCTACGACATAGCACTCTGGCCTTGTACCACAGAAAGTTAGCAAGGTGCCTCGGGCGACCAACCGCAGGGAACCGTCAGATTCCGATGCGTCATGGAGCCGCACGTCTTGAAGATGCCCCACAGAGTCCGATAGATACCTACGAAGACAGCTAAGAATCCAGCTGAGTGGTGCAAACTTGAACACACTGGGGTGAGCTAGAATCAAGTATCCAAGTTTGCTGTCAGACTCGCTCTCAGCCGAGAGAGATGTTCTCTTTGACACCCTGAAAGTGACTGAAAATGCACCTCAAACAAAATGATCGATAAACAAATCCTGTCAGGACTAGTACGAGGTGGTGGCGTGCAAAGCCAAAACATGCAATAGATATTGTCAAAGTGTGGGGTGGGGTACTTCAATGTATGCTTCAATATGTATTCTTGCCACTACTGACCAGGGGTAGCTACGTCCAAGCAAACCTGTACCGAGCTACTGTGACACTGCCAAGCTCTTCCTTCGCAAGGTGTAACGACGGAGTTGCCGAGGTCGATGTCGATGCGAGAGATGATGTCATGCATAGGCTTTACCTCTGATGCATGTGTACATGCAACTGCCCTGACTTTTCAAACTCGGGAGCCAAATAGAACATCAGGAAATGGAGAAATCTGCGGGTTCTGTGTACCGTAATTATATAAGGGATCTTGGTACAGTCATGCACATCTGCCGGCAACAAAGCCGTTGATACTGATGACGATACTTGTGATGATTATGCTTCTGGTCTGTGTCCCTGCCGAAGCTTGTTCGAACTTGTTCAGCTGTATGACTCGATATGACTCGGATCTCTTCTAGCGCGTTTGGGGGGAAGTTTTCCAAGCCACAGTTAGCGTTGACATCTCATCCTCTTCCAACTTGTCATGAAGGGCCCTTGGCAACTCCCCAAACATGACACGTGCAGCGTGGGCAATTCCTGGTGCAGAGAACGCCAAAGTCAGCGGTGAAGCAGCGTAAGCACCTAGGAGCATCCAACGGGCCAAGAAGAAAATACAAAAGAGACACACACACATATATATATAATTATATATATATATAATTATATATAATATGTCAAAAACATTCAAAAACCATATGATATCGAACTTGGAACTTCAGGGCATACAGGGAGAAGAAAAGGCTTCAAAGAAGGATGCCTTTCTGCAAGCCTGCAGCACTGAGTTTCAGGGCCACCAATTTTGCCACACCACCTCCCAATGAGTGCCCCGCCAAGTAGAAAAGCCGCTCCGGGTGTGATTTGATCATAAACTCTGTTGCAGCAAGCACGGACGAGAACGACCTCTCTGTGTTCACAGTCGATAAAGGAATGAGGCGAGAAAGTGATGATATGGCCTGACCCCATGCTCCAGAGGACACATCAGGACCGACAAAGTTCATGGCTTGCATGAGAGCAGGAACCAACCACAAAGCTACATCCTGCAAAACATCCAAGAAGTCCATCGTACCACGCACGGTGATCACAGTTGTACTATTGTCAGACGATGTGAACATCAGGAATCGGACCCAGTCCATGTCGGTCTCTGGCCTCCTTTCGATCCGCCATTCTGAGACAGCGAAGTAGTGCTCTAGGGCCTGTTGAGCGCGGCTACTCGTTTCATAGGTGAGCGAGGCCATTAAACCGAAATCGCCAAGGCTCAGTGGAGTAGATTCTGGAGCTCCCAGCTTGCTGGTGCCCATGGGAAAGCGCAGCAGGCAAAGAGGCAACGGAGTTTTAGACTCCAAAGGGTATCGGGAAATCGGATAGTACTTGGTTTCGCTCATGACCGGTGCGAAAGCACTCCAATCATAATCTTCCCAGAAACTTTCCAAGGCAAAGCACACAAGAATCACCAAGAGAAAATGAATGATTCCAAGGACATTCATGGCGGCAATTCGTACTCGCTCGCCTCCAACCACCTCCCTTTGAAAGCCGAATTGGCGCATCAGCGACAGAAGGAAAATGACTGCTGCATCTTGAAATTTGTCTTTGGCGGTAGCTATGATCACATAGTTCAGAAGTATGAACTCCACAAAAGCTTCCAGAAAAGCCCACAGCCAACCAGCAGGGCCTTCCACCCGCATCCAAAGCAGCCGAAAGAACGCCACAAGGACCAGGAACAAGCAAGCCAGTGAGAGAAAAGCAAATCTAAATGCCCCAAAAACGGTCCCAGACACGGCCAGCATAATCAAAAAGGAGTAGCGCTGTCGCTTTTGTGCGGTGTAACCCAGGCGGCACCACTTCTCTCCCCAATCTTGCAGAGCCTCTGGGTAAGTGAAGGCTCGAAGCACGAATGCCGGCACACGATCCTTGCAGGCCTGCTCTTCCTCATCATTGTTTGGATTCCTCCACGTCATCACCATAATCAAGAGCGCCAGCCCCGCAAAAGTGCACCCCACGATGACTAGATTGTTTCTGCCGAGTGCTAGTCCCACAACTAAGGTTAGTATCCCCAAAAGCAAGGGCATAAGGAACTCGATCCAGTGGAAGATGGTGCAACAAAGCACGCAGATCGATCCTGCTTCTTGGATGCTGGAAAAACATCTTGGGCACCCTTTGGCATTCTAGTCTCCCAAACAAACGAAAACTTGTTGTGAAAAGCTGAAGATCGTTTCTCGGTGGAGGCAAATTGCATGCCCTCCGGCGTCATCCACAGGCTCCCCGTGTCCGGCATCATGGGCATCGCGATCCGTGGTGGACGAGTACCCCCACGAGCCATCTTCCAGGCACGCGCAAAGCTCATGACTTTGAGATAGACTTCGCCGCCAAGCCAAAGAAAGTAGAAGACAAGGACGTGAAAGCCACCAATGGCCAAACATACTTTGCAAACGAAAACTCGGGTGATATCATTGCTAAGCATGCATGCAACCAGTAAGCAAAGCGGTGCTATATCCAAGGAAAAATGCAGAAGGCATTGGAAGATCACATCAAATGTGCGCTGCCAGCGGCCCAGGCTAACAGACCAGCTATGGGTGTAGAATTCTCCAGCCTCCAATTCTCTCCAGGCATCGCCTACCAAAAGCCTCCGATAGGCTTCGAAGGCATCAGGTCTCCATGCGTCCTTGCACAGCAAGTAGGCAAAGCGGAGCACATCGCTCCCAACAGTCAGGACAATGTAGCACCTCACGAGGGTTCCAAAGAAGTGCAGGAATGTCTCATAGACGAAGTGGCAGCAAATCCGCCAGGACATCAAATGAAGGCTGATGCCTGAAAACCACTGGATGTAGCACCGCAAGAAAGTGGCAGCGCAGTTGTAGAAGATGAGCAAAGCAGCTGAGAAAAACATGTAGCAATGCCAAAGTGCACATGCCCCTGCTGCCCACGATCGGCCCACGTTGGCTATACTGAGATGTCCCCAGGTCGGGATCATGTAGCCGATACACAGGCCTATGCGGAAGCAGCAGGTCATCTTCTCTTCCTCTGCATCCGATTCATCAAACTCGTCGATCTCATCGGCCAAGCTTGAGATGCCGGAGATGCCAGTATGGGGGTCTGTCCAGGCAGAATCTCTCGTGTGCGCGTGCTCGATAGCGGCATGGGACAAGGATCGCAACATCGCGCCTTCGCCGGGCGCCTCTGTGGTGACTTCGTTGGACGTTCGTTCAAATCCCAAGGCAATTCATGAAAATGATCAATGATGGTGATTTTGCCTGGCTGTGTCAATTGCAAACACGATCAAACAACTCGAGCTATGTGTTTCGCATTTTCATGCTAAGGTCTTCGTGCTCGTTGCTGCGGCTAACCGCAGGCAAACATGATCGGGTATGGTGAAGCCAATCTTACAATGGAATGGAGGGGTTAGAAGCTCTACCGAAGTCTGGGACCATGACGTTTAGTGCCGCCTAGAGTAAGCTTGCTTGGCTTCTTGAATCCGGCATTCTGTTCTAGAACTAGGCGCCTCTTACCTTCAAAAGGCCCATGTTTTTTTCTCTGCTTTGGAGCGTTTTTCGATGAAGCTATATCGGTCAATCGGAGTCGACTGTCAGCACGGAGCATCCGAAGACCAGCCACAAGGAATTGTCAATTGCTTATAGGTCATGGAGCCGCAAGTCTGAAACATGTTCCAAAGCGTCAAATAGATACTGTGACAGCGGTAGGCTCTTTCATCACAGGGTGTCACTATGGCATTGCCACGGTCCAAATCAATGCGAGAGATGATGTCATGCTCCGGCTTGACCTTGTGGGATGCAAATGGGTGGTGCCACTTCTGTGGTCTCCCTCTAGCCAGGCCAGAAAAAGCTTGAAAGCTTCAGCATTCATGGGGGCGACCACGGCATGCATCACACAGACAGGAAAGAAATGGAAAAAGAAACTTAGGCCAGGAGTTGAAACCATGTGAACTCTGAGTCTTAGATGAGGTGTGGTCAAAAGCCCCCACTTTGGGCGAAAATCGTTGGTTTGGTTCCCAGTCGCTGTGATGGTCGACAGGGAGTCCTGATTGAGCTTCTTATGGAGGTCTCTCGTCAAGAGTCGAAAAAGCCTCCGCGCAAAGCCGTGCGAGTTGCCACGGTCCAAAGCCTTGGGCTGTGGCGCCCACTCCCCGAAGAGGACCCGTGCAGCATGGCGAATGCCGGGGGCTGAGAAGGCAATGGTGGTTGTTTCGGTGGCACCTGGGCGAAACCCATCCAAAAGTAGTGGCTATGTGATGATCTCTCTCTCATATCAATCAGAGTGAGAGGGGCACCATATCTTGGAACACGTAAAGTGATTCTAATTAAACTAATAGTAGCTTCTTGTTACTACTAGCAAGGCACTTGTTACTAGAAGCGATGCACTTGTTCCTAGTAGCTTCTTGTTACTACTAGTTACTAGTTTTAATTGAATTAATTGGATCATTTTGGAACACAAACTCCGCAAAAAGTGTCCGAAACCGCAGTCCCACAACAGCACCACAACACCTGAGCTCTACCAGGGGTGCCCAGTATTGGTAGCTACAATGAACATGCTATTGCAGTCGTAGCACTCAGCTTCAGCGAAACCAATTTCGCCACACCACCACCCAATGAGTGCCCAGTAATATAAAAAAGTCTTTCTGGAAATGCTTTCATCATGAACTCAGTTGCTGCCAGTACTGAGGAGAATGACCTCTCAGCCGAGATCATTGACAATGGAACAAGGGTGGAGAGCTCTGCGACGCTCTCTCCCCAAGCTCCAGATGAGATGTCTGGGCCGACAAAGTCGAGGGTCTGCATAAGGGCGGGGACCAGCCACAAAGACACATCTTGCCTACAGCTGAAGAAAACTGAATCCCACCAGAAACTTCCAAAATCTAGGAGTGCTTCTTTCGGAGACAAGAAAAGAATGACAAAACAATGGGATCGGAAGAGCTAGATGCAGTGCATCCAAGAAGTCCAACGTGCCGCGCACAGCGATCACCGTAGTGCTGTTGTCTTCAGAGGTAAGCATCAAGAAACGGACCCAGTCGATGTACCTCGCACTCTCTGGTTTTGTCTCTAAACGCCATTTTGGAAAGTAGTGCCTCAATCCCTCTCGAACCCGAGAGGACGGCTCGTAGGTCAGCGAAGCCATCAAACCAAAATCAGCCAAGCTCAGAGAACTTTGCTCTGGTGTTTCAAGCTCGGTGCCAATCGGGAAGCGGAGCCGACAAAGAGGTAGAGGAGTGTAAGACTGATTGGAAGAATAAGTGGGAATTGCATAAAACTTGGTCTCGTTCATGGCATGGCCAAAAGCACTCCAATCCTCATCCTCCCAAAAGCTTGTCACGGCAAAGCACACCAGAATGAGAAAGAGCACGTTGGTGATTCCCAAGACCATCATAGTAGCGAGTCGCACCCGCTCGCCTGCGCAGATCTCTCGTTGAAAGCCAAACTGACGCATCAGCGACAAGAGCAAAACAATCGCTGCGTCTTGAAACTTGTTTCGGGCGGTCGCTATGATGACGTAGCTCAACACAATGAACTCCACCACGGCTTCCAAAATTGCCCAAAGCCAACCAATTGGCCCCTCGACCCGCATCCAGAGCAGCCGAAGAAAATTGATCAGCACTACAAACACGCAGGCCACTGAGAGGCCAGTAAATCTAAAAGCTGCGAAAACAATTGATGACAGAGTGAGCGTCAGGGTAAAGAAAAACCGCTGTCCTTAGGGTATCGAAGACATGATCAAATGATCAAAGGTCAAAATCAAAGTTTGCTGGCCGCTAAGGAACTGATACAATCAAACCAAACGGCTATTCAGCACAAAGCGGCTCTTCTGCTGAAGGAAACTTAAGCGACACCACCGCTCACCCCAGTACTGTAAGGCATCCGGATAGAGCAGGACACGGTAGATGAAGGCTGGCACAACGGGCCGTCTGCACAGCTTCTGCTCTTCAAAATCCGTAGCTTCAGACTCGCTAAGTTCCGTAGGCTTCTGCAAGGAGACCAGCAACATGATGAAGGCGGCCAATCCAAACCCTGCACCTAGAATTGCAAGATGGAGATGATGCACAATCAAGCCTACAATGAAGGTCACCAAACCCAGAACTGATGGCATAAGGTACTCCAGCCAGTGAAAGATGGTGCCGCAAAAAACGCAAATCGATCGCTTCTCAGTCGGGAAAGTCGGGAAGGGGGCTTCAATAGGCAGGTCGCTTGGTGACACCCAAATGTCCCAGGTATCCACAATTGGCCGTGAATGTCGAGTGCCCCTGCCACGAGCCACCTGCCAGGCATGGCGGAGATTGAAGACCTTGAGGGAGACTTCGCCTACGAGCCAAAGAAAGTAAAAAGCCAGAATGTGGAAAAGTCCGATGAAGAAGCAAAGCTCACAGAAGGAGATCTCGCTCAGGTGGGTCATGAAGATGCAACCAACCAGAGTGCAAATGGGCACTATATCCAAGGAAAAATGCAGAAGGCATTGGAAGATCACATCAAATGTGCGCTGCCAGCGGCCCAGGCTAACAGACCAGCTATGGGTGTAGAATTCTCCAGCCTCCAATTCTCTCCAGGCATCGCCTACCAAAAGCCTCCGATAGGCTTCGAAGGCATCAGGTCTCCATGCGTCCTTGCACAGCAAGTAGGCAAAGCGGAGCAGGTCACTGGTGGTAGAAATTAACAAGTAGCTTCTCAGTGCAACGCCAAGGAAGCCCAGAACGGTGGTTGTGGAGACAAAGCAACAAATGCCCTCAAATCCGTAGGCCATGCTAACTTGCGAGAACCACTGGATGTAGCATCTCAATAATGCAGCAGTGCAGTTGACATATATCAAGACAGCAGACGACAAAAAAACATAGCAGTGCCAAAGTGCGAATGCCCCGGCTGCCCAAGACCGACCCACATTGGCAATACTGAGATGCCCCCAGGAGGGGATCACGTACCCGATGCAAAGGCCCAGGCGAAAGCAGCATGTGATCTCTTCCTCCTCACATCCAGCCGTGGTTCAGCATCTTTAATGCCCCAGAAGGTTGCTTTTGAGTGGTGTTTGGGTGAGCTTATTATACCTTGCTCTACCATGTCATGCCATGTGCTACGGCTCTCTTTTTCGAACACCCGAAGTATCCCGTAATTATGGCCTCACTGGTGCTCTGGGCCCTATACCGGTCCTCTTCAGAATCGGAATCCGTCAAATCGCTCAAGCTCTGCGTGGCCGTATGGCTTGTCGCTCCAAATTCTAAGCCACAGCCACCCTCTCGCGAGTCTCGTGTTTGCGCGCGTTCCAGGGCAGCAGTGGACAAGGCATGCAACATGGCTCAGCCCACCACTAGGTCACTAGATCAGATCTCGAAAATGTTGTCCATTTTCTTACCAAGGCACGAATTTGAGGAAAATCCATGCAACGCGGATCAAAGCGATTCCACTTGAAGCGCCTTTTTAGAGGGAAGAAGTCCCGTGGAGTGATTTTTGGTCGTCAACCTCTTCACAGCCTAACTGTGAATGTATGCTCTGTGGTACAAAGATGGAGGAGATCCAAACATCAACAACAAATCAGTGCCCGGTAGAAGTAGTGCGGACGACGGTTGTTTTTGGATGAAACCACCCAAAAATTGTAGTGAGGTGTTCATTCCTACTTGTTCAATTGCTGACGCAATGCTGACGCATACAATGCCAAATCATTATGACTATATCTCTCTCTATATACTTGAGGCCAAGGGGGGGGCGAAAGCTAGCGCTCCAGAATGGGAAAGTGGAGGGCAGCGAGGTAGGAAAAAACACGGCGCTCTTTTTGGAGGCAGGGGTGAAGAGTCCTTTATATGTGGCTCTTTGCCCGGATCCTCCTGCGAGAGAAGAGAGAGAAGAGAGACGGAAAGACGAGAGACAGAGAGGAGAGAGAGAGAGAGAGGAGAGAGAGATGAGAGAGATGAGAAAGAGATGAGAGAGATGAGAGAGATGAGAGAGATGAGAGAGAGAGAGAGAGACAGTGAGACAGTGAGACAGTGAGACAGTGAGACAGTGAGACAGTGAGAGTGAGAGGAGGGGAGAGGGGCGGAGGGGAGGGGGTGAAAGAGTGACTAGGGCGTACACGGTAGAGGTGCAGACCGCTAGTGTCTTTTATGCGCAGAGTCTTATCCTCTTGCTCTTTGAGCCTTGAAGCAGTCAAGCATGGACACACTATATCAGCTGTTGGAGTGGAACCCTGTACAAGTAGGCTCTACTTTTCAGCAGGCACAAGATTCATGTCCACTTCTAGCTGATTGCGTATGTCGCATACTCTTTTTCTACTGCAAGGCTAAATCAGTCCAGCTAGCTCTGACAACTTAAAAGAAAACTACGGTGCCATGTACTTACCTAATCCAGTGTGTTTCACACTTTGGAGAAGGTAATCTCATAGCTACTAAATACAGTGAGGGAGCAATAGCTGACTCACCTCAAGTACAAAATCAAAGCGATAATGTACCTCGGCTGGAGACTGTACTTTTCGCAGGCGGAGATACCATGTACCGGCGCTCACTAGCTCTTTAGGGCCTGAGCTAAATCAAACTAAAAGGGAAAGCGGCTTTTTCTCTACAGAGACCTATAAAAGAATCAAACGACACTCGCGTAACAAAGAACTAAAAATTCAAGACCGCACAATGCAATGAATTAAGATGCCTTGCAAAATGCAAGGAGCGTACGGTCCGAGGAATAATCTTCTCGTGACGTGGTCTCGACCGCTTTCATTCACAGACAAAATAAACTGCATCAAAAGGACTCTCTTTCACATTCACATCAAAAACACAAGAAGGAGATACCGACAAATGTATGTACAAAACTTGCACTACAAATGCAGACTTATGAAATGACTTAATCATCAACCATGAATGGTTGTCCATTAGAGGTCATCTCAGAAACAGCGGCTGTGATAGATATCATCAGTTATGCAAAACTGTCTATACCTATCTGCATGCTAAAGCGTATAAACCTGGAATGCAGGAGTATCTTCTTTGATAAAAAGTTTCTCCTCATTGCAAACCAGAATTTATTAAAACTTCAGCCTGGCAACTTAAAGTCAAGCCTGGAAGCAAAGTATCAACTGTAACCAGAAGTATCTTCACTTCCTAGCCATCATTTAAATTTCAGCCTTCGCTCAGGAATTATGCCGCTGCAAACGATGAAGTTGCTTGATCAGAAGTTGGCGGCCTTCCTTTCCTTTTATTCTGCTTTTGTCTCTCCTTCCTCCGCACGTTCGCCTCATGAAGCGTTGCTCCCATGCGATACTGTCTTCTGTCTCCAGATGAAAAGGAAGCTGGTCTGAGTGAAATAAACATTGGACCATGACTGTCCTCGTCAGTGGGCCTTGAGCACATAACCTCTGTGTCAATCATAGCAAAGTTCTCTGAAAAATTACAGATGAACTCCTTCGTGCTCACTGTGGAATTTTCATACTCCTCTTCACTCATTGAATGACCCCATTCAACAATGGTAGACAAACATGTATCGCCAAGCTGTGATCCTTGGTATTCTTTTTTCTCAACAGTAGAGTATTCTTCCCAGAGTTTATCAAAATAAACTTCACACTTCTTGAGGACCTGTGAAGTTGAACTATAAAATGTTCTGGGAATAGGTGCTTTGATACCAGGATCTGCTTTGACACGAGCTTCTGAAAACCTGCGGATCCAATGCTGCATGGTGCTGTAATAGTAGTTAGCCATTGGCTGCCTTTTGTACCCAGACATTCTGTAGGTCAAACTATTTGCATCACCAGAAATGATGTCCACCTCATAGACAAAACACTCGTAAAGCATCAATGCTGTCTGTTCTCCTGTCAGTAGGTGGGCATCCACAGCACGGTGTGTATCAACATGATAATTACAGACTCTGATGGTATGCATGTTCGCTCGAGTAAGTGGAACACGCTTGTCCTCAGGACCATAGTCATCAAATTCAAAGTCTGCATCCTTGAAATCTTGACGAGGCCTTGTTTCTCCAAAACAAATCTCGTAGATAGCCCAAGTTACATCACGCTGTTCACAGTGACCAAGTTCTTGATCATGTCCAGCAATGATCTTGACATATCCACCTGGCGCCAATCTAGCCATCACTGCAAGATTCTCCCAATCATTGAAACAAACTGTCCAATTCTTTTGCTCAATAAATTCCTTGGCAGGAACAAGAAGATGAGCTTCCTGGAGAATCACGACATGTGCACGTAAAAAGAAGAGCATGTTGAAGAAAAGGTTGTTCTCAAATTGCTCATTCTGAAGTGACATGGCGCTCTGTTTGCGTGGCCTCATTGCACTATCAAGTCCTTGGAGAAACCTTGGTGTGGTGTACTTCTGACCACGAACCATGTTGCCATAGTTCCAGGATAAAAATGTCAAGGACTCTGAGCTGGCCAATAAATTAGTTCCATATGGTTCTTCTATTCTTCCTTTGAGGAACCTTCTGCACAGCTCTTCATAGAAGGTGACAAAGTCCCAACTGGGTCCCTTGGGACCATATGATTCCAGTTCCTTCTTGAGTTCCTTTTTCGTATCCTCCAATTCTTCTCGAGCATGACCTGCCCTTTCAAGGGCCTTTGGATCGACCTGATACCTGCCATCCAAATAAATGATGCGGTCATCATTGATGAAGAATCTCTTCAAATCATGCTCTGGTTCATGTTCATAACAATCAGGTGGAGGTACTGGACAGATATTGCGAATGGATCGAACAAAATCATTCTCGTCGATCCTTGACTGATAATGAGGATGGGAAATCTCACCTTTTCTGAAACAAACATGATTCAGCAATCTTGCATGAGTTTCCCTGAAGCATAGTTGATAAAAGCCAATACCTGGATCTCCTGTAATCTCTCCAAGCAACCTTAAAGGTGAAGTGTGCAACTCATAGGTATTGTCAACTTTTGTTGTATCCTTTTCAACAACTACTTCAGATGGAAAAGATTCTTGGATTTCAGCCTCCAATTTCTTCTCTCCATCATCCTCTCTGACCTCCTTTATCTTCTCCACCGCCTCTTTCTTCTCTTCCATGGTTGCATCATCCTGAACTTCTTCATGAAAATGAGGATCAGGAATCTTATTCAGGCGGCTTTTCTTAGATTTCCGCTGACCTGAAGTATCATCAAGGTTAGCATCCATCTCACCTGATGGTAAGTGCGATGCAGTCGAGTCCTCACCTATCTCTCTTGACAGAAAGTGTGGTGTTGACTCTTCCTTGGCTTCCTCCTGGTCAACTTCCATCTTTAGTTCCTCTGAAGGAAAAACACCTGCATCTTAGTCAAATATTTCTTGTTCCTTTCCAGGTTCAACTGCAGGATCTTCTTCAGGAACTTCCTCTTCCATATCCTCATCTTCCAGAAGTGTCATACTTCCAGTATAAACTTCACCAGCGATAGTGGAGACTCTTGTATAAGGAGGAACTTCTTCACCTGCTTCAAAAGCTTGTTCTGCAACATCCTTGGTGAGCAAGTCCTCTACAAGATTTTCTCCCTCGGTTCTTGGAAGAGGTCCTGAGGTCTCATAAAAATCTGTCCTCTCTGAACTGAAAGCTTCTGTCGCCTTCTCATTGTCCTTTTGATCCCTGAACAGGTGAGTAATCTTCACAGCTTCTCCCTGTAGCACCTGATCACTTTCTCTGTACTTGTTGACAATGGAGCGCCATACTGGAACATCATCATCATCAAAATCAAGCTCCATATCATCTGCCAACAGGTATGAGATGTTTTGAGCTGCCTGTTCTTCTTCTTCATCACGTTCCTTGGCAAGCTCCTCATCCTTCTGGATCTTGAAGATACCCTTCAGGATGTCTTGTAGTACCTTTAAGTTCAGCTTCGATGATGGCTCATACGTCCCTGAACTTACAGGCTCAACTACAACACGAGAGCAAGAAATCGCCTCCAAAAACTTGGAATTGTATTGGCGTTCAAACTCTTCCTTCTTGATCATCTCATACAAGGGATCAGAAACTGCAACACGCGCCTGAACATACTCACGAAGTTGATGGCATGCATGTTGCACAAATCTACTGTTGGAGTTGTGAAGAAAACTCTCTAAATGATTCCTGTCACGGTCAATCAAATACCACACAATCCTTGCAGAAAAACGGAATTTCTTGAAGTTCATAGCAAAATGTGTATGATACTTCTCTGGATTCCTTTCTGCTTGTAAGGCGGCCTCTGAAGTCTTGTAAGCTGGGAGATTTGTGTCTGGATCCAAAATCATAAACTCTTCCCACAAGATCGAGTGGTCAAGAACCCACTTGGGAAGCACCTTGATGAAAAAGTCACAAACAAGTTCTGACACAAGGTGCATGACACGACCAATCTCTT